TTGTAAGTCTAATTCTTTCATCGGGTGGGGAAAGTTTTCTGTCACTATTTCTTTCAGTATGTTTTCGATATCTTGCTCTCTCTCATCTTCTGAGACCCCCATAATTCTGATGTTGGTTCGCTTGAAGTTGTCCCAGAGGTTTCTTACATTATCTTCAATTTTCTGGAATCTCTTGCCTTCTAGCTTCTGCGGAGGAGTGTCATCTGGCTCTTTATGTTCTAAATCTTTGACTTGATTCTTGCGATCTTCCATTCTGTTTTTAGGACTCTGTATAATATTTTTTATTTCAGACAATGTATTCTTTATTTCTTGTTGATCCCTTATCATTTCTTGTTGATCCCTTATCATTTCTTGTTGATCCCTTATCATTTCTTGTTGATTCCTTATTAATTCTAGTTGATCTCTTTTCATATCCTCATAGGTCTTATCCATCTTTTCTAGGAAATTCTTGAAAAACTTTATAAGCGTAGATTTGAACTCTATATCCAGTCGCTTTTTGTCCTCCATTTCTTTCATTTGTGATCTATTTCTTTTTTTTTTTAATAAATTTTTATTGTTCATATTATTACAAATGTTCCTTCCCCCCCCCCTTCTCACCCCACCCTCTGCCCTTTCCCCACCCCCCATTGTCCTCATCCATAGGTGCACAGTTTACCGTATTTTTCGGACCATAAGACGCACCGGACCATAAGACGCACCAGTTTTTAGAGAAGGGAAATGAAGAAAAAAAGATTCTGAAACAAAAAGTTCAGTGTTACCACTACAATGTGTAAACCCATAAATCATGCAGAGACTTTCTATGCTTTCTTTGCATAGTTTATGGATATCTACACATTGTAGTGGTGAGAGAAGAGGCTGGAGAGTGTTTTACATTATGGTAAATGTTATTGGTTTGGTATCACAGAAAGTCTCTGCATACAATATACCGGTATGAAGTTTGTTGCAGTACAAACATTTTGACAGTTACTGGTATAATAGTATGAAGAGAAATTCTGACGTAGTGGCGTTATCAATCAGGGCATCCAGCGGAGGGCGGAGTTTACTGGTGGGCGGAGATCTATAGTACGCCTACCCAGTAGTCAAGCATGGCAACAGAGGGCGGAGAGGAATGATTGGGGGAATAGACGCGGCATTCTTCCAGGCACAGAGTACGGGCCAGCAAGGGGTACAGGTGATGATTACGGTTTGGATTACGCAGTTACCGTACACCGCACCTGGGCTGACATGGAGATATGGCTGCAGCGAGGGCATGAAGGCTGACTACCATACATGGGAACTCCTCTACCACTCGGGGTTTATAGAGCCGGGCAGACACTCTGGGCACGGAGGAATGGACAGTGGCTGCAGCAAGCACACAGAGCCGGGCAAGCACACAGAGACCACACAGAGCTGGGTAAGTAAAAAAACTTTTTTTAAAAAGTATATGTGTAGGCTATATTTGGACCATAAGATGCAGGGACTTTTCCCCCCCACTTCTGGGGGGAAAAAAGTGCGTCTTATGGTCCGAAAAATACGGTATGTTCAGTCTCTTCCCACATCCCCCTCTCCCCTTTTCCCCAAGAATAAACAGTTCACTCCCCTTCCATACCTCTGATTCTATTATATTCAACAGTTAATATTGTTCCTCAGATTTTTTTTTTTTAGTTTCCTTGGTTTTTAGATTCACTTGTTGATAGTTACGTATTTGTTGTTCATAATTTTTATCTTTATTTACTTTCTCTTCTGAAAGAACCCCCTTCAGCAATTCATATAATTCTGGTTTGGTGGTGATGAACTCCTTTAGCTTTTTTTTATTAGTGAAGCTCTTTATCTGACCTTCGATTCTGAGTGATAGCTTTGCTGGATAGATTATCTTTGGCTGTAGGTTCTTGCTATTCATCACCTTGAATATTTCTTGCCATTCCTGTCTGGCCTGCATGGTTTCTGTTGAGAAATCAGCTGACAATCGTATAGGTGCTCCTTTATAGGTAACTACCTTCTTTGCTCTTGCTTCTTTTAATGTTCTCTCTTTGTCTTTTGCTCTTGGAATTTTAATTATGATTTGTCTTGGTGTGGTCCTCTTTGGATTCCTTTTATTTGGAGTTCTGTGTGCTTCCTGGACTTGTAAGTCCAATTCTTTCACCAGGTGGGGGAAGTTTTCTGTCACTATTTCTTTCAGTATGTTTTCGATATCTTGCTCTCTCTCATCTTCTGGGACCCCCACAATTCTGATGTTGGATCGTTTGAAGTTGTCCCAGAGGTTTCTTACATCATCTTCAATTTTCTGGAATCTCTTGCCTTCTAGCTTCTGCAGAGGAGTGTCTTCTGGCTCTTTATGTTCCAAATCTTTGACTTGATTCTTGCGATCTTCCATTCTGTTTTTAGGACTCTGTATAATATTTTTTATTTCAGACAATGTATTCTTTATTTCTTGTTGATCCCTTTTCATATCCTCATAGGTCTCATTTATTTTATCGGCCTTTTCTAGGAAACTCTTGAAAAACCTTATAAGTGTGGTTTTGAACTCTATATCCAGTCGCTTTTTGTCCTCCATTTCTTTCGTTTGTGATCTATTTGGTTTAGGCATTTTCGCAGGCAGCTTTCCTGATGGGGTGGGGTTTCAGGGTGGAGCCTACAGCCTTGGCTTCCGTCAGCCCTGTCCTATGGGACTCCTGAGACTCAGGGTCCTTCAGTACTTGTTGCAAGCGCCTCTAAGAGAAAGGTACCCTCGATTTTCGCCTGCTGCCAAACTGTCTATGCTCTCCCCCAATGAGTCCGGTATTGGGGTTCAGTTCAGTTGGTAGTGGGATTGGAGGTGGCGTTCAGAGCAGTCTGGAGCCCCTGTCTCCTTCCCGTCAGGGCAATCCCGCGGCACAGCCGGCCGGCCCTTCTCTGCGTGCAGTGTGCGCGCCTCTGGGACCTCCTTTCGCCGCTTCCCCGGAGTCCCGCCTTACAGCCCGGCTCCCTATGGATGAGCCTGGGTTCCCGAGGTCTGGCCTAGAACTGGGGTTCAGAGCAGATGGAGCTGGGCCCAGCACAGTCGGAGCTTTTCTCTCCTTCCCGCTTGGGACTGCAAGCCAGGCACTCGGCCTCCCTCCTCTCCAGCTCTGTCCTCTCTGCGCACCACACGTTTCTCCGTACCTCAGGCTTTTCCAGCTCCTCCGCGCTTCCTTCTGGTTTTCTCCTTGCTTCTCGTTGCAGAATTTTCAGTCAGTCGACTTTCCTGTAGTTCTGGGTAATGTCCATTTTATATTTTAGTTGTATTTTATTGAAATTGTTGTGTGCGGCTGTGGCTAGGTGTCTACCTGAGCAGCCATCTTGGATTCTCCCACCTATTCTTTTTTTTTTAAAAGGATATTTTTTTGCACCAGGTTGTTTACCTTAGTGTTTGTATTTTTATTTTATTATTTTATTTTTAAAAATATTTTTTATTGATTTGTTACAGAGAGGAAGAGAGAGGGATAGAGTTAGAAACATCGATGAGAGAGAATCATCTATCAGCTGCTTCTTGCACACCCCCTACTGGGCATGTGCCTGCAACCAAGGTACATGCCCTTGACTGGTATCGAACCTGGGACCTTTCAGTCCGCAGCCAACGCTCTATCCACTGAACCAAACCAGTTTCGGATCTTTATTTTATTCTATCTTTAACTGCCATTAATTACTTTGATATTCAAACTTGGCCAATGGGAGTACCTTCAACCTGACTTTTCTGTAAAATTGACATCTCCCTGTCATTCTCTGAGCACTCCCATTTCACCAGATTATTACCTCAGTTCTAACACTTTAGAGAGAGTCAGATCCCACAGGTTAAGGGCTCAGTTCTACAAGACTGCCCCCTACTTCACACACCAATTGCAAGTCCAGGTTGTTACTTGTGTTTCTGATCACCCAGCTATAAATCAGAGGTCCCCACAGCACCCTACTTGGGTTTAATTAATTTACTAGAGTGAATTACAGAACTCAGGAAAAAGCTTACTTACTAGGTTCCTAGTTTATTATATGATTCAAGAACAGCCAGATGAAAAAGAAGCAAAGGCACGGTGTGTGGAAAGGGGTACAGAGCTTCCATGATCTGAGTGCCACTTTCCACAAATCCCCCCGTGTTCGCCCATCTGGAAGCTCTGGAACCCAGTCCAGAGCTTCTGGATTTTTCTGGAGGCTTTATTTCATTTGCTTGACGGATTAAATCATTGGCCACTGGCAATAGAGCCTAATCTCCAGCCCCTCCTTGCGGTGGGGTTGGGGACGGGGCCAAGTTACAACTGTACTGACCAGATGGTTCCCCAGGCAGCTAGACCAGATCCTCACCAGCTTTCCAAAAGTCATCGCATTGAGTAAAATGAAATCTGGAGTATTTGAGAGGGTTTTGTTAAAGACGTCAAAAGACACCCTTATTGCCGAAACTGGATTGGCTCAGTGGATAGGGTGTCAGTCTGTGGATTGAAAGGTCCTAGGTTCGATTCCGGTCAAGGGCATGTACCTTGGTTGTGGGCACATCGGTGGGAGGTGTGCAGAGGGCAGCTGATTGATATTTCTCTTTCATCGATGTTTCTAGCTCTCTATCTCTCTCTTCCTCTCTGTAAAAAATCAATAAAAAATAAATAAAATAAAAAGACACCCTTATTACTCTTATCACTTTGAAAATTCCAAGGGTTTTAGGACCTTTGTACCAGAATCTAGGTAAAAAACTATATATAAATGTATAATAAATCTCAATATCACACCTGTCTGTTTTCCCTGACCCTGGTCCATCATTTCTCTAAGGAGCCTTGTTCTTTTAGTGGAAAATAGTAAAAAACAAGTTATGCATGCCAGATGTGCTCATTGGTACTGGATGTTATTGCTTCTAAGCCCTCAAAGCAGAGCCGGAACAATGTGCATGGTCATACACACATCCATCTGCCACACGTGTCCCATCCATGTACACACATGTGTCCCACCCATGTACACAGTGTCCCATCCATGTACACACAGTGTCTCATCCATGTACACACAGTAAAACCGTGAGCTCAGAGCTTCCTTTCACTCTCCTTGCCCCTTTCTGTATTTGTGTGTGTTTTCTTTCTCTGAGAAACCTGATTCTCAGCAGACTTCATGACATTTATTTGCTCAGCCCCTTGTTGAGCAATTCTTGTCACGATTCATTTTTGTCAAGGTTCTCTTTAATGTTCAAATTGTCCCGCCTTTCATCCGAGCGCCTGTGTCCTTTGCTGTGCCCCCTCCGTTTTTGAGCACGTTTGTACTTTAAGGCACAAAATGGTCCAGCTCCGCTTTGTGCTTTCTCAGTCCAGCCCGGAATCAGCCATTTCCCAAGTTCATGTTAGTGGGAACTGACATTTAAAACTGGGATATGAGCCCTGGATGAATTCATTCCTTACGAACTAGAGAATAAATACGACATATACAAATACTGTATGTAAATTAATGGATCTCTTTAATCCAATCCCATGTCTCCCTTCTCTCCGACCCCTCCATGCGCCCCCCCCCCCCCTTCTCTGCAGGGAGCACAGCGGCTCCTGGCAACATCAATGCTTTACTCACTTTCTCAACCCTGTGACACACACAGACAAGCTTGGGAATCGCCTCTTTTTAGAAAAGGAAGTTACCATCACACATACACCTCTCCCCAGGCCAAGTCCCCTGCTTCCCTCCTCGGGGGCGCCTCACCAGGGCTCCAGCGGCGGCGCCGAGGGCTCGTAGGGCTGCGCCCAGGCGTCGCCGTCGTCGTCCTCGAGGACGCGGGCCCCTCGGACGGGCAGCGGGCAGATGGTGAGCGGGTCGGGGCGCTCGCTGCCGTCGGGGGCCCTGGGCCGGAAGTACGCGCAGAGCGGCCCCGGGAAGGTGTCGGTGAAGGTGTAGATGTGGGAGCCGTCGGACACGTTGAAGAAGGCCAGCTTCCCGGCCTCGCAGTCCAGGAAGACGCCCACGCGCCGCGGCGGCACGCGCGGGGCCAGTGCCCGGCGCTGCGGCTCCAGCACGAAGTACTCGCAGCCGTTCCACAGCCCCATCACCCAGTAGCCGGCCGCCGGGCTCAGGCGCGCCGCGCCCGCGCGCGCCACGGCCGCCAGGCAGGCGCCCAGCAGCCAGCGGCTGCGCCGGCCCACGTCCACCTCCCAGTAGTGGCGGCCGGCGCCGAAGCGCTGGCGGCTCAGCACGCACGTCTGCTCCGTGAAGCGATGCGGGTCCCCCGGCGCCGCCGGCACCAGCGCCGCGCCGCGGGAGGTCACGCTCTTGCCGTCCGGGGAGACCTCCAGGCTGGGGTGTGCCGAGGCAGGGTCCAGGGTCACGTTCACTGCGCAGAGGCTCTGAGTTAGTGCTCCGCACAGTGCTGGGCCCTACTTATCTCCCCCCGAACGGCCAGCCTCTATTTTTGGAACAAGTGGTGGAATATTCGCCCCCACCGTCAACCCCAAACACTCGGAGACTGAAGTGGCTGCAAGTCACCAGGGAGCATTTGAATGTGTAAGAGGAATCCTATTTCTTTCCTGAACTGGAAGGTTCCTGAATTCTACACCGTGGCGAGGAGACAGCAACAAGGCAGGCTCCTGGGGGTGGAGGGCTCACTGCCCTCCGGTCTTGGCCAGAGGAGGGAGCCTAGGGCTGGACTAGTTCCACTGTCTCACCACCAGGGTGGCCTAGAGAGCATCGCTGACCTGAGCCGCAGTGTGGGTGTGGGTGTGGTTTTTCACCCTCAGTTTTACAGCAATTTTAGGATTTTAAAGCTGCAGGGGTCCTCTGAGAGGATCTAGCTTAGTGCCCTGTCATCCCCATAGCTGCTGGAACACCCTCATTTGATGGATGGGAGCCCCAAGGATCCTCACTACTGAAAGGTTCCTTACTACTTTGTATTTGTTCCTGCCAACAGCCTCCTGCAGAGGGAAAGACCAATAAAATCAAGAAAGGACCCCAGCTGGTTGCGCAGTGGTTAGAGCGTAGGCCCCACACACTGAAGGGTTGGTTATGGGTTGGATTCAAGGTATGGTCAAGGGCATATACCTCAATTGCAAGCTTGATCCCTGGTCAGTCACGGCACAAATTAGCAATCGAACTCTCTCTTTCACATCATGTATCTATCTCTTCCTCTCCTTCCACTCTCAATGAAAATCAATGGAAAAAATATCCTCTGGTGAGAATTAGCAAGACCAAGAAAGACCTGTGCTTGTGGGGGTAGGTATGTGCACACCAATGTATACATGTGTGAGTTAATCACATCTATGCATGCAAACATGTATGTGTGCATATGTGCATATGCAGGCCTGTGGGCCATGTTATTCTGTGCAAGTGGACTTGTATGTCTGTGTGTGCAGACTCCTACTTGGCTTCTGGACAGACGCTTCCTCTGATCTCAGATTGTTCGACCTCCCTCTTTAAAGATCCCGCCAACCTCAGCCATGTCATTCTTTGGCCCACCTCCAGTTACCTGCATATTGTTGGGCTGCTCTCCACTCTGAAAGCAAACAGAGGAGAATGAGGCTCAGAGAGCTGAGTGCATATCCCTGGGCGTTGAGAGATGCACAAGGGACACTGTAACACTGAATGAGCCCATTCCCACATGACAGCTGGTTTCGGTCCATTTTCCTGAGGAGTCAGGATTGATAAGGGGCTGGTGTCGGTGCTGGTTCTACCCACACTGCATGCAAGCCAAAGTTGTGCTCAGACGGACAGGGGACCAGAGCACGTGGGCACAGAGCCCAATACAAGCAGAGTGGGTGTTCTGCAGGATGGAGAGGAAGCCTCTGATAGATCCTCCCTTCCCCCAACAGATGGACACAGTATGACGTAAACTGCACCTGTGGTCTGGACATTCCTGAGCACCTAACCAGGCACCTTATATGGACTGTACATTGAACCACCATCAGCACCTGCACCCCCAATTCCTAAGTACCTAAGTACCTAACCACCAATCAGCACCTGAGCCCCCAATTACCCTAAGCCCCCCCCATTCCTAAGTCCCTAAGTGCCTAATCATGTGCTTTATATGAAACCACCAATCAGTGCGCGCCGAGTACCCTAAGCCCCATCCCTTCCCATTCCTCCCCTCAAAAGGCGCCTTCATCCCTGCACATGTGCTCCCTTCCTTTGGGAGGCGGCCCTGCAGGACTCCTCCTCCAATAAAGCCTGTGTCCTGGTCTCCAGCCTCTGTTTCATCTTTCAGCCTCTACCACTGACTGGCAAGCAGGGTCCCCAGGAGGCCGAGCTGAGGCTGGCTCCTGTCCCGATCCGTCCTCTAGACACCTGTCTTGTCTCCTTTCTTTTTTCTTTCTTCCTCTCTCTCCCTCTCACTCTCTCTCTCTCTCTCTCTCTCTCTCTCTCTCTCTCTCTCTCGACAACCAACGATTTTAATAAGACATTCACTTTCCTCTTTACACTTAAATAACCGGTGTGCTTCCCCGTCTACCTTCTAGCCTGACCTGTAGGGGAGCAGTCACCCAGTGGGGAGCACCCTCGTGCAAACAGAGACCCCACGGGGCCGCCTCGTCTGTGCAAACGTGGCCATTGTTCAGCTTAAGAAGAGGAGCCCCCAACAGCCAACTATTGATAGCACATGAGATGCCCAGACTCCTTCGTGTGCAGAGGAGTGCACACTGCGAAAACAGCGAGAATCACTCCTCTCTACTGACCGACAAGCTCAGCACGCTGGCTCACAGGGGATGGGAGCGCCTGGGGCTCCATGCACTGCCAATGGCAGGGCGATGGCACTGCCCTCAGGATCCCTCTGTCCCACTTAGCGACCAACTCCCTGGGCCAGCAGTTCCCTTCCTGGCATACATCCCAGAGAAGTCTCCACACAGGCCAGAAGGCAGCATGCATGTATTTCGTGTGGCGGTGTGGGTCAGAGCAGGCTGGCTGCTACTTCAGGAGGGCGGCTGGCTGAAAGGAGGCTCAGCAACAAGGAGAAGCAGACCAGATGTGCACGTGGCGGCAGGATGGATATTAAACACAGTGACGGCGAGAAAAGCCAGGAGTAGCATCAAACTGTAAAGGTAGTTTACGTAAACTAAAATGCATGTGCACAAAAACAAGTGCACGTTTTGCAAGAATATATAACATAGAAGGCAGATGCTTTATGGGGGAAGGGAGGGAGCTACAGGGAGAAATTTTCCTACAGGGAACATGCCCACCCCAGGCCCAGAGGCCAGTCTTTGAGGGTTGGCACCAGGAACTTAGTGGATTCTCAGTTGCAGTCAGGCTGGGCACCAATGGTTTACAGTATGTGTACACCTCAGGATAATATAAAAAACTCAAATATAGCCCTAGCCAGTTTGGCTCAGTGGCTAGAGCATCAGCCTTTGGACTGAAGGGTCCCAGGTTCAATTCCGGCCACAGGTACATGCTCGAGTTGTGGGCTCAATCCCCAGTGGGGGGCGTGCAGGAGGCAGACAATCAATGATTCTCTCTCATCATGGATGTTTCTCTCTCTCTCTCCCTCTCCCTTCCTCTCTGAAATCAATAAAGAAATATATTTAAAAAGCAAAACAAAACTCGGATATAACCTCCTCTAGAGACATAGGCTGATTTATGCTGAGTGTGGCTGTGGAATAAATGGCATGAGACGTGGTTGGTTAATCAGAGAAAGTGCCCGGGGCGCTGAGATGTAAAGTGGACCATGGGGAAGAAAAGGACTTCACTCACCAGCCTGGCCTTCAGCCCTTCTCCAGTCTGAGGCAGTCAAGGAAAACAAAACAAAGCAAAACCCCAGAATTAGAACACCAGGTTCCCGCAGCTTCCCTGCTCACAGGTGGAATTTGCACCCACTCCAGCCCCCTCCCCTTCCTCCCACGCCCACGCCCACGGAGCCAGCAGGTTCCAGCCTGGCCATCAGACCTGGTTGGGAGACAAGAACGTACCTGGGCAAAGGAACGTACCTGGGCAAAGGTGGACAAGAAGAGGCAGTTGTAAGAGGGGTCACTTACCAAGCTCTGACTGGGCCTTCCCTGGAAGCAGAACACAGAACATCAGCCTGGCTGGCTGGCCCACCTGCCGAAGGCCCTTAGGCCACTGGGAAGATGTTCCTCAGTCTGAATCCACCGCTCCCCTCGCTCCCATCCGTCTCTGCACCCTCCCTGCAGGATTCTTACACCCATCCTGTTCTCCGCTCTTGGGGCAGAAATCACAGCAGGAGGGGGGCGGGAGGGGGAGCAGGTCTTGGCACTGAGGAGCCTTTCCCAGGGCTCAGGTCTGGTCTGAAGAAGCTGCTGCCCAGAGATCACCGGCCTTCCCAGCTGAGCCCCGCCACTGAGGAGCCCCGGGGTGGCAGGGGCATCATTTAAAGGACTGGGTGGACATCACACTGAATTGTGTCTCCTGGCCGGATGCCAGGACTGAGCATTTGCCACTAGAAATGCATGCCTTTGATCTGCCCGCCCTGTGTCTTTTAAAAGTAAATGCCCCTGAGCAAGGCAGCCCTAGGCACTCATTCAGATGCTTTACTAGGGGCCCTAAGCGCCACATTCCTGCAGGAGGAGGCCTTCCTTCCCTCTGGCACCCAGGACGCCGGGTTTCCTCCGGCCGCCAGCAGGCACCTGGGACCGGGCTTCCTGTGCAGCCCAGGTCATCGGAAGGATGTCTGGAAGGACATCTGGTCTAATTAGCACATTAAGCTTTTATCATTATAGATGCTATATCACCTTTGTGCAAGCTCAAGGTGCCACCCTCGCCAGTGGCACTTGCATTAAAAATAGAAGGATATCCTAGGAACATGAGCCAGAGGGATAAACCTTTAATAGTGGAATTGTGAGTGGCCGGGAAGGGGCTGGGAGGGTCTGTCCAGAGGGTCTGAGTGAGGCCGGGCCTCCGGGGCAGCTTCGCTAGGGTCGTCTGAGAGAGAAGACGCGGGCGGCGGAGAGGGACGGATTAAGAATCAGATCTTTGCCATCGATCGCTGACCAAAGGCGGCGTATGGGGTGCATTAAGTGCGCGGGGCACCCAGAACATACCCAGCTCTGCGGTGAGTTTCCCTGGAGAAGAAACGAAGAAAAGAGGAAATCTCCATGAACGAACGCTGACGCCTCGCTTCCCCAAAGTGCACAGACTCGGTCCCCGCGTTCTGGGGACCAGGCTGGGCTGGACGCGGGCTCCGGGCTCCGCGGCTAGGGTGTCGGAAGCGCAAACCCCGCCGCGTCCCGGCGCTGCTCCGAGCCGCCCGTCTGACTCCTCCGCGTGCCCAGGGCCCTCGGCAGGAGCCTCTCCCGCTCACCTCTGTCCTTCTCCGCCTGCTCCTTCAGCTCCTCTGAAAGGGGAAAGGACAGGAGCGGGCGTGGGCAGGGTCCCGGGTGGGTCCCGCGCCGCCCCGCACGCCGGTACCTAGGGCCGGGCCCGCCCGCCCGCCCGGCCGCCGCGGGTACCTAGGGCCCGGCGCTGCCGGCGGGAGAGGCGCAGCGCCAGCGTGGCGAGCAGGGCCAGGAGGAGCAGCAGCCCGACCACCAACGTCCCGAGGAAGGCTGTCCTCCACGGCGCGGGCCCGCGGAGAAACTCGTCTGGAAAACACACCGGAGCCGTCTGACCCGCGCGCTCCGCCCGCGCGCGGGGAAACGCCGGGAGCCTCCGGGGCGCAGCACCGGCCACTGGGCGCCGCCGGCTCCGGAGCGGCCCGAGGCGCGCGGACTCGGCCCAGCTCCGCGGGAAGGAAAGCGCGCAAACGGGGGGCGGACCAGCGGCGCCGAGATGAGCCCCTCGCGCCCTGAACTGCTGGGCCGCCGCCCGGCCTCCCTCTGCGGCTTCCCGCTCTCGCCTGCGCCTGCACCCCTTCTGTTGATAGGAAAACCCGCTTTGCTTCTGGCTAACACTCGGCTTCTACTACGTCCCATCACCTTGGGAAGAATGGATCGCAAAGCCAGGGCTGATGGACAGCCCGCCCGCCCCCCCCACCCCCCACCCCCAGGTCGCCTGGGAGGCCGCTGCAGACCGTTGGCGGGCGCACATGGAGAATACCCCTTGGGAAACCCGTGTGGCAATTGGGTACAGTGAGTCTGTCTGCGGCAGATAATTCTAAAACATCGGTGCTTTCATCTCAGTGGTCTTTTAAAACATTGTTTTCTTTTCATAGCGGTGACATATACATCACATAAAACGTCCCATCATGGCCAACTTGAGCTGACAGTTCAGTGGCATTAACTGGTTCACATTGTTGTCCAACCACCAGAACTTTTCTTCTTCCCAAAGTGAGGTCTGTCCCCAGGAAACACTCACTTCCCATGTCTCCACCCTCCTAGCCCCTGGTAACCTCTATTCTACTTCCCGTCTCTATGAATTGGCTACCTTATAAAAGTGGAATCGGACAATATATGTCCTTTTGTGCCTGACGTTCCACTAGCACAATGTGCTCTTTTGTTTGTTGGTTTAATTTTTCTTGCGGTGCGTTTTTATTGTCTGATACAAAACTATCGTTCCACAGGGCTTGGTCCTTCACCTCAGGTAAGGGTTGAGAGCAAGGTCTCAGGGTCTGATACCACCTGACGGACTAGCTACCCTTGATCTTGTTCTGTTCCTTCCCCTCCCACCTCCTCCAATAGCCACACACAGTCCCATCTCAGGACCTTTGCACTTGCTGTTCCCTCCACCTGGATGCCCTCCTAATCTGTACCATGTGACACACACCCTTTATAAAGCTCCATGTGGCTTTGCTATCGATCCTTCCAAAGGTGTGATGAGACTTAGAAACTAAGTGTTCGCAAGAAGCAAACCGGGTTTCTGATATCAACGGAACATCTACACACCGGGGAAAATTTTCCTGGTGTAAGACTTCCCCCTCCCCCTTCCCCCTTCCCCCTTTCTTAGAGTCTAAGACTTAGACCATCTTCTTTGGAAAACATGTAAATCTTTTCTCCGTCCTATTGAGATGTATGCAAATTCTTTTGAAAGCTAAATAAGCCTCCTGCCAGCTTTACAACCCAGGACAGTTTCCCATCTGGAGCTCAAACCCTCTCTTTGAAATGTAAACACCCAGGAGAAAACACCTCTGTCCTGTGCCCTGGGAGTTTCCAGAGGCACCTGGCTCCTAGTGGTGGCTGCTTTCTTGTCATAAAGATATGCGATGCTATATCTTCCCTTTGGGTCAATACAATCCGCTAACAGAACCCTGTCTGGGTGGTCTGATGGTAACATCCCGATATGCCAAGTTTGTAGGTTTGAACCCGGGTCAGAGCACAAACAAGACGCAACCAATGCATGCTAAATAGGTGGAACAACAAGTAACCCCCCCCCCCCCCCCCCCCCCCGTGCTTCCCCCCTTTGCTCTCTCAAATAGATAAATAATTAAAAAGGACAATTAGCTAACAAAGATAGCTACCCTAATTGCCAGCCATATTTAAATGAACTGTGTGTACTGTCTATTAGGTCGAGGCAGGGGGAAGCCCAGAGCCATACAAGCATCTGCAAGGTGGATGGTGACAAAGATAGCTGGCTAGCTGGCGCCTTCCTAGGGCCTTCCTAGACCCCTGGCCCGAAGCAGGAATTCCACACCTCTCATGCCCTCCGCAAATTAAAACCCTCCTCCCTTTCAATGGCCTGGACTCCGTGTCTTGCTTCTGCATCGCGAACCTCTCAGCTGGGACCTTACACTGTCAAGTCCTCTTACTTGAGGATAAATCATCAATTATAAGGATGAAATTTCTTTCTGTTATTATAACTATTGATTTGGACCTATGTGGATAAGTGCTCCATAGATTGGGTTTGTCCTCAATATTTAAAAACAGCTAGAGCCATGAACATTAAACCTTTCAGTGGAGCCTCCGAAAAAAGACTTTGATGTTAAATATTGGCCTACTGAACTCATTGCCTAACTGACTTCTTCCCTGATCCACCACTTTTAAATCCACATACACCCCCACCATGTCTTATCACTCTTCCTTGTTTCATTATTCCCTAAGCACCTAACACCTTCTAACAGTGCAACATAGTTCACCTGTTTGTGTGCTTCTCCCATGGGATGTGAACTGGGAACAGGGGTGTGAACACATTGTAGTCCTCTGTAATTCTTGTTAACATTTGCCTTCCAAGAGCAGTTTCTGGGTTTTAGCTGGTGGCCTTGTCATGCTGGCTCTGGGGGCCTTGTCTGTTTACGGGTGGGGCTGTCAGTTGAATTCTTAGTAGGTTCCTGATATCCTAATATCGGACTTTTCAGATGTCAAGGTCAGCTCACCCCAGCCAGGCCCCCATACTATTGTGACCTTATGGATGGACTTTGGGGCAATGGACATGGAGGATGTGATGATTAGGAAGATGAAGGTGAGCCAGCACCCACTGACCTGCTATTTGGACCACAAACTCTTTCTTCTGGAACAGAACAGGGTTCTGGATGGAGCAGGACACATTGCTGTGGGCCCCTCCTTGGACGACCACAGATGTCTCCAGACTGAACAGGCCGCGGGCGTCCTGGGTGATAGCTTCGAACTCCGGAGGCAGGCACTGTCCCCGGTGGCCTCTCCACTGAGCCTGAGGCTTGGGGTACCAGCCACTGGAGCTGCACCTGAGCTGAATGCCTTCTTTCTCAAAGCCCTCAAGGGAGATGTGAGGGTCTGACCCCATTCCTGGGAGATGCAAGAGAGGGAAAAATTAGGCTCCTCCCTGGAAGTTACGGTTAAAGCTTATAACTGACTGCTCTGAGCACAACATGGGCCATAGCCTCCACCCACAGACTGTCCACGAGGGTCCATTGGAAGGTCTGGAAACATGGAGGGGGCATTTTACTCGAATGTGCTACTGACATTTAGTCATATTATGCAAGGGACACTCCCCAGAATGAAGAATAATCCCTCCCCAAAGTGCAACAGCTTGTCTTCTCTCTCCTGACTCCCAGCAAGGCTCAAGTGCCTGTGACATACACACGCCTTTATCATCCCATCCTTGTGGCGCTAGCTTTATGTTTTAAATATGCAAAACATTAATGTGGTTTAAACGCCAGTACTGTAAAGATGTATGTCAGGAACACCTTTCTCCACCCGTTCTATGGAGTGCAGCCCTGCCTTAGGGAACCCACCTCACTAGTTTCTACTCACCCTCCCTGTGTGTTCTCTTGTGCACTGTTTCTCCCTCTTCCTTACACAAACAGTTACATACCGTATAGGACTCCTTATGCATCTGCTTTTCTTCTGTGTTAACAACCTGCAGAGCACTCCCCAGCAGTTCACAGAGCTGCTATGTCCAGTTGCGTAGTATGGATCACCCATGTGTGGTGGGCCACACTCAGCACCTGTGCTTGCTCATTTAGGTTGCTCCCGCCAATTTGCAATCACAATAATGCTGCAAAGATTAAACGTATCCCCAGGCCCTTTTTCTATTTAGCTGTGGGAGGTGTCTCTTCAGGGTCAACTCCTAGAGGGAGGTTGGTGTTCAAAGGGGGGCGCACAGACAATGCTGCCGTTGCCGAATCCCAGGCACGGGTGCTGTGGGACCGTGGTGCAGAGCGCCTCCCCACGCAATTCCACCAATTTAAAAATTCTGCCAGACTGAGAAGTAAAAGAAATGCGACTCAGTGTGGCTTTAATCTGCCTTTCATGATGAGTAAAAGGTATAAATCATCTTTCCATATGTTTAAGAGTATTTGTGTATCTTTTTTTGTGAACAACGTTTTTGCTGTTCATTTTCTAATTTTTTAAAATAGAGCAATTCCCCTGTTCTCTGCGCTTCCCTGTCTAGTCTGAAGCCAAGCAGTTACATCCAGTGGGCCCTTCCCTGCGGCTCTTCGCCAGCTCCCGCGCTGGCGTGGCCAGCTCACGCACCTGCTACCTCCAGCTCCCAGACGGCTTCCCCGGAGAAGGAGGAGTCCTTGGAGAGGAAGCGGCACCCATAAGGGCCCTCGTCAGCGGGGAGCACGCCCTGGAGCTGCAGGATCACGGTGCCGTCCAAGATCTCGTCCTTGATGAGTCTGGTCCTGTTCTGGAACTGGGCCATCTGCCGCCCCGGGGGCTCCTGCCCCCCCTGGTACAGGTGCACCACGTCGGAGGCCTGGCCCCGGAACCAGAGGATCTCCATGTGCTCTGCGTCCCGGTACGGGGACAGGTGGCACGGGAGCTCCACCTCCTCCCCGACGGTCGCCAGGATGGACTCCCCAGGGCCAATCACCTTGACCTCCTCTAGGAGAAGAAGACAGAATAATGACCAAATACAGCTCTCCTCAAATATAAGCTTTAGTGAGGTCCCTTTGCAGCTCAGAAATCTACAGTAAACCATTCGAATAAGGAAGGTGAGACACCCTACCAGACAGCCTGTCAGGTTTCTTGAACAAGTTACTGTCATGAAAGAAATGAATGGGGCCCTAACCTGTTTGGCTCAGTGGGTAGATCGTGGACCTGCAGACTGAAGGGCCTCGAGTTCAATTCTGGACAAGGGCACATGCCCTGGTTGCCCGCTGATCCCCAGTAGGGGGCGTGTAAGAGGCAGGAGGCTGCAGGAGGCAGGCGATCAATGATTCTCTCTCATCACTGATGTTTCTTTCATCTCTCCCTCTTCCATCCTCTCTGAAATCAATAAAAGTATGTTTAAAAAAGAAAAAGAAAGAAAGAAAGAAAGAAATGAATTGGTAATTTCTGAATAATGGGAATAGATATTTGTTTTGTTTTGTCTGATTTTGTATATATAAATATATATAATATTATTTTAAAATGTTTTTAAATATATATATTTAAAAACATTTTAAAAATTATTATTTACAGAGAAGGAGAGGGATATAGAGTTAGTAACATAGATGAGAGAGAAACCTTGACCAGCTGCCTCCTGCACACCCGCTACTGGGGATGTGCCCATAATATACCCTTGACCAGAATCCAATCTGGGACCCTTCACTCGGCAGGCCAACGCTCTATCCACTGAGCCAAACCAATTAGGGCTAATTTTATATTTTTTATAGTGTACATATACACAGCCTCTGTAATAGCAAAGGGTATTAAAATAATCTGTGGGGCCCTAGCTGGTTTGGCACAGTGGATGGAACATCAGCCTAGGGACTGAAGGGTCCCAGGTTTGATTCCGGTCAAGGGCACATGCCCAGGTTGCAGGCTTGATTCCCCAGTAGGGGGCGTGCAGGAGGCAGCTAATCAATGATTCTCTCTCATCATTGAAGTTTCTATCTATCTTTCCCTCGCCCTTCCTCTCTGAAATAAAAAAAAAATATATATATATATATATTAATAAAATAATAATAATCTATGAGCTCCTTGCTTTTTCTTTTGTTAATCCTCACCTGATGTATATATTTAATTCTCACTCGAGGAAATTTTTTCCATTGATTTTTAGAGAGAGTGGAAAGGAAAGGGAAAGACAGAAACAGTGATCCGAGAGAGACACATCAATTGGTTGCCTCCTCCATGCCCCTGAACAGGGCCAGGAATCTGCAACCAAAGGTATGTGCCCTTGACTTGAATTGAACCCAGGACCTGTCAGTCCACACACTGAGCCAAACTGGCTAGGGCCCAAGGATATTTTTCCCATTGATTTTTAGAGAGAGTGGAAGGGAGGGGGAGAGACAGAGAGAGAAACACATAGGTTGGTTGCCTCCCATACACAGGATTGAGCCTGCAACCAAGGTATGGTCCTTGGCCAGAATCAAACTCAGGACTCTTTAGTTGTCAGGCTGATGCTCTATCCACTGAACCAAAGCAGCTAGGGTACTTTACTTTTTTTTCCTTCTTCTTCTTCTTTTTTTAATCTAAAAGTCAAATTCTGCCCAGGTGGCATGGCTCAGTGGTTGAGCATTGACCTATGAACCTGGAGGTCACTGTTCAATTCCTGGTCAGGCCACATGCCCGGGTTACTGGCTGGATTGCAGTGGGGGCTGTGCAGGAAGCAGCCAGTCAATGATTCTGTCTCATCATTGGTATTTCTATCTTTCACTCTCTGGAGTCCATAAAAATATATATTAAAAAAATCAAATCCTTCCGTGAAGATGTTTATTTGGGGGATACAGTGAACTTTATTGATGGTGCATGGCAGAGTAGGGATCCCTATGCCCCTCCCCTTCTTCAAAGGGTCTGGGATGGAAACGGTGGTCAGGAGAATCTGTGTGTTGGGACTGATCTGGGACAGGAACTCCCTAGCAGCTGAGGGCCCCTCTTCCTCTCGCTGGGGCTGGTGGTCCAGAGGTTCTTACTGCATAGAGGCCATGGGGACCATGCGGTCCACCACCCTGTTGTTGTAGCCAAATTCATTGTCAGACCAGGGAACGAGCTTGACAAAGTGGTCATTGAGGGCAATGCCAGCCCCAGCATCAAAGGTGGAGGGTGGGTGTCACTGTAAAAGTCGCAGGAGACAACCTGATCCTCAGTGTAGCCCAGGATGCCCTTGAGGGGGCCCTTTGATGCCTGCTTCACTTTCTTCTTCTTCTTCTTCTTCTTCTTCTTCTTCTTCTTCTTCTTCTTCTTCTTCTTCTCCTTCTTTTTAATATTCTAATTGATTTTTTACAGAGAGGAAGGGAGAGGGATAGAGAGCTAAAAACATCAATGAGAGAGAAACATCGATCAGCTGCCTCCTGCACACCCCCGACTGGGGATGTGCCCACAACCAAGGTACATGCCCTTGACTGGAATTGAACCTGGGACCTTTCAGTCCACAGACAACGCTCTATCCACTGAGCCAAACCGGTTTCAGCTTCACTCCCTTCTTGATGTCACATATTTGGCAGCTTTCTCCAGGCGGCAGGTCAGATCCACAACCGGTGGGGACACGGAAGGCCATGCCTGTGAGCTTCCCATTCAGCTCAGGGATGACCGTGCCCGCAGCCTTGGCAGGGACAGCAGAAGCAGCCCCTCGCCCATCACACCACAGCTTCCCAGAGGGCCATCCAGGGAGGCATGATGGCATGGACGGTGGTCATGAGTCCCTTCATGATGTCTAAGTTGTCACGGATGACCTTGGCAGGGGGGCCAAGCAGTTGGTGGTGCAGGAGGCATTGCTGACAATCGTGAGGGGGTTGTCATACTTGTCATGGTTCACACCCATCACAAACATGGGGCACCCGCAGAAGGGGCAGAGACGATGACCCTCTTGGCTCCACCCTTCAAGTGAGCCCAGCCTTCTCCCTGGCAGTGAAGACAGCAGGGGACTCCACCACATACTCAGCACCAGCATCACCCCATTTGATGTTGGCGGGATCTCTCTGATGGAGATTGATTTTGCACTGATGACAAACTTCTCATTTTCAGCCTTGACTGTGCCTTTGAACTTGAAGAGAACCATACTGGAACATGTACACCATGGAGTTGGGATCAATGAAGGAGATTATTGATGGGGACGATGCCCACTTTCCCAGATTTAAAAGCAGCCCTGGTGACCAGGTATCCAAAGTTGCTCACTCTGACCTTTACCTCGGTGTATCAGGGCTGCGTGGGAAGACAAGGCTGTCTGATGAACAGGAGGCAGAGCCTGCCTTGGGGACTTCTATTCACCAGGATCTTTCATTTGATTATCCTCTTTCATGGCATACCCATCTGGTCCCTCCAGTGTCTGCAGTTTCCATGAGCATTGCTATTCTTGCTGCAGTTCTTTCTGCACGAGCTGTTTCTGCCACCTAGCATGCCTCACTCTTCTCTCTGCCTCTTTCTGTGAGCCTCCTTTCCTTTCCTTGAAGATCAGCTAAAGACTACATTCATCCCAAGCTTAACTAAAACTATATTCCCAGCAGAAACCGGTTTGGCTCAGATAAAGCGTTGGCCTGTGGACTCAAAGGTCCCAGGTTCGATTCCGGTTAAGAGCATGTACCTTGGTTGCGGACACATACCCAGTAGGGGGTGTGCAAGAGGCAGTTGGTCGATGTTTCTAACTCTCTATCCCTCTCTAAAAAAATCAATAAAATATATTAAAAATAAATAAATAAATAAATAAATAAATAAATAAAACCCCACTCCCAGCTCTCCCATCATGGATCACCACCCTTCGGTGGGGCATGGTGGTGCCTTCTTTGTTCATTTCATTTGAGACCCTTGTTGCCATGGGTGAAGTCCAACAACCTTCCAACTAGCTTCCTTCTCCAGCTTTCCCCACCACCCTGATGCCTGGCCCTCTCCCTGGGTGCAGTTTACCCTCCAACTGTCATCTTTCTACATAATATGTCCCCTGCAAGGCTCTCTGCTCAAATACTTCCTCCTATCTAGGGTTTTTCTGGCTTTCTGGAAAAAACCCCAAATGATTCTCTTAGCTCTGCTCCCAAAACTTGGGTACATTTCTCTTGCAATCTGATCACAAACAGCTGGACAGGTGGATTTAAAAGTATTTTCCAACTGGTTCAGCCAAAGCACAGACCAGTAAGAGTTTCTGAGCATCTCTTGCTCGGCCCCTGCCATGGCTGTGAGCTGTGGTCAGTGTGTAGGGATATGCTGGGTGGCTGGAGTGATGGTGAAAGAACACTGCAGGTGGGGCTGGCTGGTGCGTGGGGCTCGAACCCCTGGGATGGAAATGTCCTTAAATACTAGAGTGGGAATTTTTATCGCTCCGGAGGGCAGTGGACTATCCCCAGACAGGGTTGTCAGTGCTGACACCAGGCCAGGCCTTGAGATATGGTCTGATGGCCCCTTCCCTTCGCACCTCACAGAATAGCCTTGCAAGATAGAACCCTGTCATCTTTCTGAAGAACAGGATAACCCTGTGAATAACATGGTTTCCAATAGCATGGCCAGGACATTATTGGGGAAAAACTGTTTTGTCTTGGGTTGCTTACTCTGCAAAAACAGGATGTGGTTAAATGTGCTTAAAAAGTGGTCTTGCAAAAAGGGTTGGGGCTGCTCTCTAGTCTCCCTGTTTGGAGAAAGGCAGAGCAGTCGCCAGTCAGCTGGTCGGCTGATAAAGGCTCCCTAAATTTTAATTTGGTCTGGACTTCAGTGGTCTTTACTCACATTCACTCCACAACACTAGTACCTGGCATGGCTACAGATCTCAGCTGGGCACACCTGCAGGAGGGGTAGGCTGATAGGCTCACGTTCTGGCTGGCTGGGCTGCAGACGGATACGCTACCTGAGTTTGTCTCCCAAGCCTGGAGGATGAGGAGGAGATGGATGAGGAAGATGAGACTGCTGGGCTGAGGTACCGGGAAATTGACCATCTCTTCAGCAGTCAGGTCACCTGCAGAGGGACAAACAGATGCTGGGTGAACCAGGAGAGCTGGAACCCGGCCCCTCAGGCCAGAGGGCTATCAGTGCCTTAATTATCTTCTGTGTGGTTCTTCACAACCATAGTACCTGGCTTCTTCTAAACCACGCATGTCAAATTAGTGGCCTGCTTGTCGCATGCCTCATTTATTTGGCCTGTGTTAGCCTTTGAGTTTGACGTGCTTCTTCTAAACCATAGCCGGATGTGAGAGCTGCTTCTAAATTTACCAGGCAGCACTGGTAATGCCATCACTGGCCTTGCTTGGAGTCACGGAGCCGCATGGGGACAGGTCCCAAGGGTCCCAGAGGAAGCAGTTCCTGAGGTTCACATTGTTTTAGAGCCAGAAATAGAGCCACGTGTTGTATTGGGGCTCAGCTAGTATTTAGTGACTTTCTACAAAAGGGAAATCTATAAAAACTCTACATGCATTTTCACTCTCCCTGCCCAGTGCTGTTCCCATTCCCCTTGGCCTGGAACATCAGGTCCCCAAAACAGATGAACAAACACCGAGTTCTAATCTCTCAGAAATGGGGCGCATGCCTGGCAGCTGCTGGCCAACTTCCACTGCACCTGGGACACCTCCCTCCAGTCCTAGATCCTCAGGTGCAGCCTCCAGGAGGTTAGCTGGCAACAGCCCCTGAGTCTATGGCATCGTTGAGGTCACAGTGATGGTGTGGTCCCATTAGCTACACCAACCCCCACCTATGGCCCGGGAAACCCAGCCCCAATGCAGGCGAGGGCTGTCCCTCCTACTCCAGACACACCTAGGGACTTCAGCCTGGCTCACAGTCCTACAGCAGAGTGCAGGCAGCCCATGCATCTTGGAAGACACACAGTCCTCTCCACATTTGTCCTCTGTTGAGTTGTGGGACTGTAGGCAAACTTATAATGGGCTGAACCTCACTTCTTTGCTTGAACAATAGAAGAAACCAATGCCAGCTCAGAGGGTCGCTAAGCCTCCCACAGGTTAGCTGGTGCTCCTCTTCCCTCTGCCTCCACCTTCCAAACAGCTGCTTCCCACCCTCCTCCTTCCTCCAGAAACGAAACCCCCTCCTTTCACTCCATCATAGCACCCCAATGGGAGAGCCCCATCATCCTCAGCCTCCCTTCTTCCTCCTCTCCCTCCCACGCCACTGCTCGGTTTCCTTTCTCACAGACCTGAATCCTGTGGCTGCAGAGCCCCAACCAACAGCCAGCAATCCACTGAAAGGACTTGGAAACTGCTAGGTTATTCAGCAGAAGAGGGGCCAGAGGAGGTGTGTGCGTGACTTCGTGGAGAGGGGAGACGCTCCAGGTGACCCCAGAGCTGGAAGGACTGTGGTCACTAAAATACAACGGGGGTGGGAGGTGATAGCCTGTGAGGTGAGTGGGCCAGGGGCTCACAGGAAGGGGCAGGGGGAGGCAAGCTGGACCAGCTGGATTTGTGCTTCAGGAGGGGCCTCTGTGGGGGAGGGAGTCGAAGTCCCTCTTTGAGGGGTCCTGGCTGTGCTCCAGGCCAGCAGCTACTGTGGTGACTATTCCCACAACAACCAGAGAACAGACGCCTTGGGCTGGGGTCTGGGCTCTGGACAGACAGTGCAGCCTCTCACCCTCCAGGCTGATGGAGGAGCATGGGCCAGGCCTGGAAACCCCGGAGCAGGGGCTGTGATTTCTCTCCTCCCTGTTCTCTTCTCTTTTGGGCCTTGGTCTTTACTTCTGGGCTCTTAACTGGAGGTGCAAGAGGGCAAAACCAAGAGGGTCTCTTAGCAGCAGCCAACGCCTCCGGACAGGAGGGCGCAGGACACCTGACGGATCTGCTTGGGCTGCCGGGTTCTGAGGAGTTAATCACGTCTTATGGCAGATGTTGGCTTGCGTCCTCTCCGAGGCAGCGGTGGCTCATGCCCGCAGCGGGGCGGGCGTGCTTCACAGGAGGAGTACGTGCCCTGGTATTCCTGGGCAGGGGAGCATGCCACCTTGGGGTGGGGGAGCTGGAGCTGTCAGCGTGTTCCAGACCCTGGAATTCCTATAGGGCTGCAGGGGCCTGTTGTGATACACCCATGTGATTCCTGTCACCAAGGCTGGAGGAGGAGGTCTCTCTCTCACAAAATAATAAAAAAAAATTAGCACAAATCCAGACCTGAGTATCTACCAATCCCTTCCCTACACCAGAGTACTAAGATTATTATTGCCACAGACAAGGAAATGGAGGCACAGGAGGCCAGCTGACCAGCCTGCATTTCTCTGAATCCTCGTCAGCTGTGCATGTGTCAGGACTGCGTGCACCTTCAGTCTCCTGTCCCCGCCACATGATCCCTGGAGGGACTCCTGGCCACAGCACTTGCCCTGACATCTCTTTGCACCGAGTCCCCAGGCGCCAGCCCCCAGACCAAGAACCAGCCAGCCAGCCACCAGCCAATGAGTAAAAATCTAAACGCTCCCTCAAAACGGAGTCTCCCTGAGAGCTTGTGAGCAGCACCATCTCGGACAGAAGGCACCTGCCGTGTGGTCTCTGCTCCCAACACACAGGACATGCCGGGAGCCCTCACTCAGAGGGATACGGTCTGGCAACTCCCTGAAGGGACTTCTGAGGCTGAATGCCCTGTGGCACCGAAAGGAGTTTTTAGGGGTAAATAGGCGGTTTGGGGAGTTTTAGAACAAGCGGGTCCTTGGGGGAGGAAGGCTTGGAGCCCGTAGGTGGGGGCCTGGAACTGCCAACAGGCATCATTACAGAGAACAAAAGGTGCCGCAGGACAAGGGAGAGGAAGGCCACAGGGTGGGGATAAAGGAAGAAACTCTCACAGGAGACAGAGACGCTGGCACCCGGGGAAAGAGGAGACAGATCTCCACGGCAGGGCAGGCGAGAATTCTGCCACTGAAGCAGAGAGAATAAGGGGGCACCGCGGGGGTTGTGAGCTTTGAAGTTGATAGTCTACCAGCTGGAAGGCAGCATCAAGAAAACAAAGAACTGCAGTCTTTATAAACCTTAGAAAAAGGGGCTCCGTGCTACCACCCTGCCGTGGGACCCTTTCCCACGTGAGAGTCTGTACTTGTTTCCAATAAATTTCCACTGTTTTCATCTACCACCTTTTGTCCGTGGCTTCATTCTTCAAATCCACCCGGACAAGGACCCGGAAAGAAAGCACCCTTCATTCTGCTCAGGAAGGTCCCCCAAAGCACCACCTGCCGCCTGGAGCTCACCTCCTGGCCTCTGCCTGAAGGCGCGGGCCTCCCTGGAGAGCAAGGACCCCCGAGGGCACCCCAGTGGCATGGATTCCAGGTTCTGGGTCTGTGTGGAGGTTCTGCTGGGAGAGGCCTGGGAGCGGGAGTAACGGGGAAGGTGGAGGAGCCAGTGGGGAGAGGAGGGCAGACGGGCTCAGCAGGAGATACGCTGTGCGGTGGGTATCTCTCTGCTCTCCCCGGAGCTCAGCCTGCTCCCTCCTGGGGATGGGGAGGACGGCTGGTGCACACTGGCACACAATGCTGCCCCCTCTGCCCAGGGGGAGCCCGAGTCCCCACATTCCTTTCCTTCTTGCGTCCCCCCCCTCCCCCCGGCCCTCTCCAACCGTCCCAGTTTGCTCCTCCTGCATCCCCAGTTCCTAAAACACACCCCGGGCTGGAGATCACCAGTCCCTCAGCTCTGCGTGTCTCTGTAAAGGTTTCTTGTTGCTTTTGCTACCTTCGTGACCTCGGGCTGAGGCCCGGGGAGCTTCGCCCTCCTCCCAGGCCCATGTCCCAACTGGGAGCCAGGATTGAGGTTTGCACCTCCACAAGCTGTCGATCAACCGATCCATCCACGCTCACGGGCTTGCTTGGGTTTGATTTCCATAAGCCCACAGGGATTTCTCCCCCAGCCTCCGAGGGAGGTGAACCTCCAGGGAGGGGAGGTGAACCTCCAGGGAGGGACCCTCAGCGAGGCTGGAGGGAAGCGGGGGCATCCGGTTCCCGCCTCCTCAGGTGGTGCTGCCTCTCCCCCGGCTGAGCTCCACACACTCCCCTTGCAGCCAGGCCCTTCTGGGCAGATGGGCCAACCTGTGCTCTCTCAAGAAGCCATCATGTTCTGCTTCCCAGTTCTGAAAGGTGGAGGCTTAGGCAGGCGTTGGGAGTGAGCCATGTACCTGGCAGGCTGCAGCGGAGGGTCCGAAGTGGCAGCGTCTGGCGAGCCCAGCTCTGGGGCAAAGGAGATGATTGCTGTGAAGAGTCTTGGTCCAGTTGAGGGGCGGCTCACGTGTGGCAAGGACCCACCCACCTTTCACCTTAAGACACAAGCTGCTTGCTCTGCCCTTTGCTACAAAAACCAAGAAAGATAGACAAAAGGAGGAAGTCCCTGTCACATCCTGTCTCTGTGAGGCACATCATGAATGAAATTTCCAATGGCTTAAAAAGAGGGCAAAGGTGCCTGGGAGTTTTGCAGAGACTGCAGCCTGCAGAGCGGTGGGGCAGGGATGCTCAGCTGGCTGACTGGGGCTTGGGGCTCCAGGGAGGCAGGCTGGCTTCGCTAGCGGCCCCTCCCTCCTCACCATCACAGCAGAAGATACAGACTGCCTCCCCTCCCCCTTTCTGCACTTCCTGATATGCAGAAATCCGCTGTTACAGAGGGGGAGTGCTGGGTGAGGAAAGATCTGGTGCCCAGCACTCACTGAGCTCTACCCTCCTCTGCTGGGCCAGGAAGCAGCATAGACTGGGTCATTGCCATAAGGAAGAGCTGGGCACACACAGCTTGGAAATGAAATGATGCCCTGCACTGGGAATTCCCTAAAGGATGGAGCTCAGGAAGGAAGCAGCCATTAACCCAGTGAGCCCCGTTGTGCCTGAGGCCACTGTGCAACCTCAGTATCAGTGACAGAGGAGTGCAGTGATCAGGTGCCAGTCACCTGGCTGCAGCCCGCACTGACAGCCCCTCCAGACGGTCAAGCAGGGGCACATGGCCATCTAGCACCTGTAGGACACACAGCCCCA